CTGTCTATCCGTCCGTCCGTCTGTTCGTTAGCAATTTGGTTACCGGAGCATAACTTAAGTTCCATTTGGCCCACAACATTCAAACTTCATAGGATGAATTGTCCATATTAGGTAGAAGACCCCTATTGATTTTGGGGTCACAAGGTCAAAGGTCAAGGTCACTATCATCTTAAAACTGAAAAGTTCCATTTGGCCGACAGTGTCCAAACGTCATAGGATGATTGTCCATATTGGGTAGAAGACCCCTGTTGATTCTGGGGTCACAAGGTCAAAGGTCAAGGTCATAATAACCTAAAAACTGAAAACAGTTTCCGGAACGTTACTTAAGTTCCATTTGGGCCACATTGTTCAAACTTCATAGGATGATTGTCCATATTGGGTACTAGGAAACCCTTATTGACTTTTGAGTCACACGGTCAAAGGTCAAGGTCACTATTACTTTAAAACTGAAAACAGTTTCCAGAGCATAACTTAAGGTCTATTTGTCCCACAATATTCAAACTTCCTAGGATGATTGTCCATATTGGGTAGAATACCCCTATTGATTTTGGGGTCACAATGTCAAAGGTCAAGGTCACTATTACTTTAAAACTGAAAACAGTTTCCAAAACATAACTTAATTTCTATTTTGCCCATAGTGTTGAAACTTTATAGGATGATTGTCCATATTGGGTAGAACACACCTATTGATTTTATGGTCACACGGTCAACGGTCAAGGTCACTATCACCTTAAAACTAAAAAAAGTTTTCAGAGCATAACTGAAGTTCCATTTGGCCCACAATATTCAAACTTTATAGGAGGATTGCTATTTGAAGGAGGTAATTCTTTATTTAATTTATGTAATGTCAAATGCTTCATCCTTAGTAAAGAAAAAAAAAACTTTTCGGGCATATAATGCTCCGCCTAGCGGTGCTCTTGTAGAATATTCAGCTAGTGAGCTTAAGACGTTCGCAAAATCATAAGATAGAAATGACAGTACCGGCACAGGAAGAGAACCATGCAATAATAAAGTTTTGTATGGACCTTAGGGAACAACAGCAGTACTATATTTAGATAAAGCATAAACAGGTCAAGTATCATACACTAATTGAAAGCATCCATATATCAGTCTTTTTGAACGCCGCCCTTCCTTGTTGATCTTGTTTTTCATATATGTTTCGTACTTTGTTTTCATGTATAGTCTTTGATTCCGTTTTAATAGTGATCAACCTTAGTCATGTGACTGTAAGATTAAATAAATCATTTCTTAATTTTTTAATTTTTGCTTATTAGCGCATTCTAGATAAATGTAATTTCTAAAACAAAACAATATAACAAAATATACACTGTCGTTGAACATTGTTTTATTTATACAACAATACGCACAAGACTGATTTTGTTATTTTCAATGATTCCAACGGGTTCAAAAACAAATTATTACATGTATATAACTTAGGAGACTACTTTTATCAGTAAAATAATATGAATTACAGTTCATATCGTATGCCGGGTATTCAAAACACAAAGATATGCATTATACCTTCAGATGCATGCTTATGTTCATGTAAAATTTAAAAACTATTTCGAAGTAACATATTGTGAACTTAAAAAAGAAAATATTGTAGACATTGAAAATTGCACTTACAATTCACGTTAATACAAAACTAAGGTCAAAATAGGCAAACATAACCCTTTCTGCTTTAGTCACGCAGAAGTAATGCGATGACAAATACTTTATATGGAGGCATGTTGTACTGCGTTTCATTTGTTTTGATCATATTTTTAAAATTATCTTTTATGCGTAATATTATAAAAGGAATGTTTGTATGATGTTGGCTCATTGTTTGAATTAATGAAGTTTAGGCCCATAAGAGTTCTACTTAAACGAGCATAAGGACAACCGATCCGCATATCATTATGTTACCCGCATGCTATACTTATATTCTAATCATAGTTTCTTTGGCATAGCGTTAAAAATAATCAAATTTACTGACATCTTACTTATTATGTGTTACATGGATTGCTTATCAACAAAACGGTAATTATGAAAGTCATCTTATCATATATTTACCTACATTGAATTTATTTTAAGTGATTTATTTAACAAGTTCTAAATTTTAAAACCGAAAGTAGCACCAGTTAAATTACCCAAAGTTTCGTTTACAAATAATTCGCCCATTCTCAATAAAATAAAGCATTTGAGGTTGAAAAATATTAAAAATTTGATGTTGTTATTGTGTCATTTTTTATCGCTGAAGTAAATGTTTAGGGTATTTTGCAAGTTTGCCAGAAATATTTTGAACAAGAAACTATGATATAACAGGATGGCATTTATTTCAGTAATGACACTGTATTTCTTCGGTTACGTAGATTTCAGATCTAATAATGTAACATATTGGCTGCATATTAATAACAAATGTCTGTAAAATATATCAAAATCTGTAAATTCTCTATCTAGAGGGACTTTCTAACCCAGGAAAATTCAAAGAAGTTGGGTACCTTGCTAATTTTCAGTCAATTTCTTCAAAGTTAAATATTCGTAGAAAGCAAAAATAGTCAATTTTGAAAATGATTATTTTATGTCTTCATTCAAAGGATATATATCATATATAATATATGAGAGGTCGAATGCATACACAATTTTTGTATTAGCAATTTTTTTCTCAAAATATTCAACTTTCCACTTTCTTAATATTTGGAAAATTTAGTACTAAACAGTTCGATATTTATCCCCATATAGGATGTCACGTATGTTTCATTTTATTCAAATGCAAGTAAAGGTTGAGAAAACAATTTTATTTTTTGTAAAATAATTTATATTTATGGATATTATTTTTACATTATTATATATAGAATGAAATACGGCCAGTAAGCTCTTTGCAGAAACGAATTAGTTGTTGCTGAGAACATCAATATCTTGTAATATATTTTTAACGTTTCTGCTGGTAGATCAACATATTATTAACATATCTTTCCTTTGTAAAAACAATTTTGTGTCTTCTTACATCTAATACAAGGTTACTGTTACTAACAGGCATGCTAATCCCAACTTTATCTTTAATTTTCAAAAATTGTTGAATTGTAAGTTGGAGTAACGTATGTTTCACACTCGCTTATTTATGAACTTTATTACGGAATTTAAACTTACATGTACAATCGACTTTTTTATTTAGGAATCAAATGCACATCTTCTATTGTCATAAAAATGCGATTTTATGTTTTTATATATGCATGTGTAAACAATATAAAGTCTGTTTGATAAAAGTAACGTTTGTTTCACTGTGGTTACTTAACCAAGTAAAAACACGACAAAAGTTAACAAAATTTACTTACTAATGTCAAATAGAAGTTAATGTTGATGTTATCACGTGCTTTCTGACTTCAATTTCCCTTTTGATAAACTTACTTAAAAAGTTGATAACGTATGTTTCTGTAACGTATGTTTCATTTTTACATTGAAAGTGGGTTAAAAATGACGCAAGACCGTTTAAGCCGCCATAATTTGTGGTTAATATATCAGAGTTACACACATGTTAATATTCTTTCTTGTTTGGATTCTTCTTTGAATGGATTGGCTCTTAAATAATGGTAACGTATGTTTCTTTTTAAAGTGCTGTTGAAAAGATTTGAATAAAAAATGAAAATTTCCGAAAAAAGAATGATATTTGAGAGGCTGCAAGCTTATTTTTACATATAATTATATATATGCTTTATTATTAAGCATGCATCGATTCAATTATGTAATTTGGGTTTCACTTCTTATTGTTTTAGGTTTGTCACTATTTATTTATATGCATTTGGCGACATTTGATCATTCATTATACCAATGAGATTTTAACAGTCAAATATAATTTTTACCAACAATCAAAGTGCATATACACACAGCAATGACTAATTTCACATGTTTCGTTTATTCTGGAACTTATTTTTCTGAAACACAATTTCAAAGTTGAAAATTCTAGGTGGCGACAGTAACGTATGTTACATTTTAGGGCATTAATGGTACTTGTAAAAGAAAAATAACAGATAGAAATGTAAAACTGAGAGTGTCCCTATTAGACAAAGTGGCAGCCACCTTTCTAACGACATTTTGACCTCAAGAAAAGCCTTCGTATAAGAGCTACCTAGTGGAACATCAAATGCTGTGTTTTATTGAGAATGAGCGATTTATCAGTGTGAGTGTGTTTAAAGGCATACTGAATACAAGTTATAAAAATAAAGTTATTGAGATGCTACAGTGCGGTGGCTAATTTGTTCCAAATATAGATGTCATGTTGCTGGATAAAATCACAGAGAGGGGGGACTCTCGTTACCGCTACATTTACAAGGGATATAGAGCAAATTGGTTCAGTTATGATATAAGTTTAAGAGAATTGGTCCAAAAATAATTATGTTCATATAATCTTGTCACATACATGGCAACAAGCCACAAAAGAGTTATGTTGATGGAGATAGACGATCCGATATTCTATATCTAAATAAGCAGATAACATGAAAATGTTACCAAATAAATGTATCGGTTAATAGTTTTGTTTTGGTCCCGTTCTTAGCTTTTATTTGATGTTGAATAAGATGATTGAAACGTCTGGGTTCTGGTTGTTAGCAAGGTGCGTTGATTTGGGTTTTCTTTAATTCCCTAAGCTAGTACACGCCAGCAACATGCTTTATTGGCCATTACAGTGCGATATCTCAGATAATGCACATTTATTTAGAACAATATTGTGCGATGTTTCGAATTGAGCGCAGTTATGTAAGTTCAGTAGTATAACCGCGACAAAAATGCCATGGATCATTTTACTGTACCTAGCCTCAGGCAGGAAAATCACGAATAAATTCAAATTAAGGATACGGCACGGGCCATAAGGAACATTATGTATCGATGCTCATGTCATTTTCTTGAGATTTTCAATTTAATTAATTTTAGCGTAAGTAAAAAAAAATGTGTTTGGTTCGGTGCACTTGCTTTTTGTTTATTATATAACTCTGTAATGACAAAATTGAATGATTTGTTCCAGATAAAGAAAACATAAAATGGCTTCTTTGGCAAGTCATGGAGCAGCACCCGGTGGGAGAGTGCCTGTCGGAGACCCTTCTGCAGTGCCTGTTGACCTCGAAAAGAAAGAGGCTTATTACTTACGTATGCATTTGCTCATAGTAAAAGAGGTAACGACCTTGTTAAGGACACGATTTGACCTGGCTGTGCCGCCACATCAACTTCATGCAACGTTGCAAAATTCTAATAACATGACCACCTTAAAGTATACAAAGAAAAATAATCTTATTAATAAAACGCAGTGGGGTCTTTTATTTCCGCAATACCATCAACCGTCTTCGGATACTTTTGACGTTACTCTCCTAGCTTGTCTACTTAGAAACATCTGTGGACTTAAGTCAAAGTCGAGATGGTGGAGTGAAACTGTCAACAGCAATATTCCTGATAATGTAGTAACTGAGGAAGCTGACATTGCCCGATTGAGGAACTTAAGAAATTATGTAATTATATAACTTCTCCTGGATACGATTTAATAGTTAATTCTTACTGTGCAAAGACAAAGTCTTTTTTATAAATATTTTAAACGGAATTTTGTAAAAACTGATTTAACGTTTAGATATTCAAACTTGTCAGTAAATCTGATTAAAAGCTATAACATTTTTAGTGAGAAAAAGCTGTTAAGATGTATGAAAACTTGTCAAAATAACTTGATCTCAATCTTGATACTTTTATACAAATCGGACAAAATATTTCACAAAATTGCCCGCATAGTATTATGTTTTATTATTATATCAATGTTTTCCTTATAGTTTGAACTAACGTTATTTTTTTAAAACAATTGAATAGATGCTGCACAAACAAGTTGCTTCTTTAGAGCAGAGTGAATTTGGAGACATGTGGGACCTCGCAGAAAAGGTACGTTTGTATAATTTATAACTTGTTGACTTGAGAATAAAATCATTTAAATTGTTAATAATTCATCTAGACAGCTTGACTGTTGTTGCTCTATTCTTTAGCGGGTGAAAATTATAATGCATTTACTTTCTTATTAGGCGGCATGAAACTAATTATCTTGGACATGAAAAAGGGATCACTTTTGTTTTCCAAAAGAAGTTCATTTAACGTTACAAATGCACATCTAAACGATTAAAGTATGTGTCGAAATATATGTTCTCATACTATCTTCTTAACCGTATACACTGTATACGTTAAAGATCCGTTTATCAATTGCCCAGATTTTTGCATTCTTATTTCAGATAAAACTGATGTAAAGTTATTTAATATCAAAACAATCCTACATCATAGATGACTGCATTTCTATTTGCTGAAGTTGCTCCATTTTTATGTAAATCATGGACCGAGCTTGTATGGATTAAAAATTGCGAGTATAATTTTAATAGTAGGTTTCTAACGGAAACTAGCATATATTTAAATTTACCTTTATTACGGAACAGCTTTGATAATGCATATACGGTTTGTTTCAAAAGCTATAAATGTACATATACAAAAATACCCACTTTAAATTGACGTCTGCATGTTCAATTTAAGTCTAGGGATACCTAGCTATTTTAAATAAAAAATAATATAATTAATCGTTGTCATTCTGTTGCTAAATTCTGATGTCCTCTTAACATTGTCATTACAATCGTTGACGCGATATTCAAGATATATTATTCTTATGTGTAGACATTACTTTCAC